TAATATGTTATATATATATATATATATATATATATATTTATGTGTGTGTATGTTGGTCTCTCTTTCTGTTTGCTCTCTTAGTCTGTAACCATTTCACTGGCATGAACTTGTCTCCTTTATCAATGTATATTCTCCTTATATTATATTATATATAATATGAGTGTTTGTTGACAGTCCATTGCTTGGTGACATATATCCATATATGGTTGTTTGACATGTCTGCTATATATATATATATATATATATATATATATATATATATATTTCGTTCACACATTCTGTGTGAACTACTTGACTACTTTACTTACTTATCACTTTGGTGTGAGACCATTTTATTTTCGTCTCCTTGTGTTTGGACAATAGAAGTATCATCGCAAACCTAGTGGTCTTCTGATTTCCTCCTTCTCGCGTCAGGACTATTAGTTTCTCGACCAGTCCATAAGAATAATTTAGCGACGAGTACATAACAATTTGGCGACGGGGAAAACTACTATTAACCACTCAGCAGCAGCAACATAACAATTTACTATGGATTATTCTAAATTGGAATTATTGTTTGAACAACAATTGAAATTAATGGAAATGTTCGTCAACCAACAGACTGGTCCAGCTTCACCTTCAAGCAATCCCAATCATACCATGCTACCATCTGTCGACGGCATTGTGAACAGTATTTCACAGTTCAATTATGACCCAGAGGCTAATGTCACTTTTGACACATGGTATCAACGTTATGAGGATTTATTCACTGTTGATCTCGCCTCACAAGACGATGCTTGGAAGGTGCGAGTGTTGTTACGTAAATTGGGTCCGGCAGAATATGAACGGTACTGCAACCTAATTTTACCCCAGAAACCACGTGACAAGTGTTTCGATGATACAATAAGGCTGCTGCGTGAACATTTTGGAGACGACTCCTCATTATTCAGCATTCGTTATCGTTGCCTCAAGCTGACAATGAATGAAAATGATGATTTCCGTACTCACGTTGGCACAGTCAACCGAGAATGTGAGAGATTCCGACTCAGGTCCTTAACAGATGATCAATTCAAAGCCTTGATCCTCATATGCAGTCTCGAATCTCCTCGTTTCACAGATATCCGAACTCGACTGCTCAATCAGCTAGAACAAAATCCCAAGTTAACATTACATGACATAGCTGATGAATATCAACGGCTGATTAATCTGCAGAAAGACACACACCTGGTCGAATCAACACCTTCGAAAAGCTCTGATATTCGTGCATTACGAAAGAGCAAAAATCTCTCATCATCCAGTCCTGACCCACCTTCTTCTAATGTTCCGCGGAAATCTACACATACTCGTCCAACTTCACAAAATACGACAAAGAAGACCCCTCCATCACCATGCTGGCACTGTGGCGCGTGGCACTTTGTAAAGTCTTGTCCATACAAAAATCATCGTTGCAGCAAGTGCAAGATCATCGGTCACAAAAATGGTTTTTGTCAGCCACGCAAACCCAGATGTCAAAGTCCAGCGAAAGCTCGACAAACTGTTGGTCCTGAACCCCCCAAAAAGTCACTGAGTCTACGTGCAACCTGTCAAGTCACAACACCAGCTATGCGGAAATATATTGACCTTCAGATGAATGGTCATGATACTCGTCTGCAGCTAGATACTGCCTCTGATATTACTGTTATATCAGAGAAACTTTGGAATTATATTGGCAGACCACCTATCACCAATACTTCCCAGTCTCTTCTCAGCGCCTGTGGTGGGCGGCTCAAACTAATTGGTGAACTCAAATGTTCTGTTTCCTTCCGCACTACCAAATTCACAGGAATTTGTTACGTCACGAAGAATGATTTAAATGTTTTGGGACTTGATTGGTTCGATCGTTTGCATCTGGCTGATGTCCCACTAAATTCTCTACGCAATACAGTGAAGAAGCATAAAATGCTAGACAATTCCGGACGGAGCCGAAGCCGCAAACCCAACAATCAGACGAAACGACAGGCGTCAACAACAAGCCCAAAGGTCCCAGATAAACCCCCAGGTAAACATCCTACTAATCATTCATCTTCTCAAAAGGGGAGGTGATATGTATCCACATATATATATTTATGTGTGTGTGTGCATGTTGGTCTCTCTTTCTGTTTGCTCGGTTAGTCTGTGACCACTTCACTTGTATGGACTTGTCTCCTTTAATAATGTGTATTCTCCTTATATTATATTATATATAATATGAGTGTTTGTTGACAGTCCATTGCTTGGTGACATATATCCATATATGGTTGTTGACATGTCTGCTATATATATATATATATATATATATATATATATATTTCGTTCACACATTCTGTGTGAACTACTTGACTACTTTACTTACTTATCACTTTGGTGTGAGACCATTTATTTTCGTCTCCTTGTGTTTGGACAATAGAAGTATCATCGCAAACCTAGTGGTCTTCTGATTTCCGCCTTCTCGCGTCAGGACTATTAGTTTCTCGACCAGTCCATAACAATAATTTAGCGACGAGTACATAACAATTTGGCGACGGGGAAAACTACTATTAACCACTCAGCAGCAGCAACATAACAATTTACTATGGATTATTCTAAATTGGAATTATTGTTTGAACAACAATTGAAATTAATGGAAATGTTCGTCAACCAACAGACTGGTCCAGCTTCACCTTCAAGCAATCCCAATCATACCATGCTACCATCTGTCGACGGCATTGTGAACAGTATTTCACAGTTCAATTATGACCCAGAGGCTAATGTCACTTTTGACACATGGTATCAACGTTATGAGGATTTATTCACTGTTGATCTCGCCTCACAAGACGATGCCTGGAAGGTGCGAGTGTTGTTACGTAAATTGGGTCCGGCAGAATATGAACGGTACTGCAACCTAATTTTACCCCAGAAACCACGTGACAAGTGTTTCGATGATACAATAAAGCTGCTGCGTGAACATTTTGGAGACCACTCCTCATTATTCAGCATACGTTATCGTTGCCTCAAGCTGACAATGAATGAAAATGATGATTTTCTTACTCACGTTGGCACAGTCAACCGAGAATGTGAGAGATTTCGACTCAGGTCCTTAACAGATGATCAATTCAAAGCCTTGATCCTCATATGCAGTCTCCAATCTCCTCGTTTCACAGATATCCGAACTCGACTGCTCAATCAGCTAGAACAAAATCCCAAGTTAACATTACATGACATAGCTGATGAATATCAACGGCTGATTAATCTGCAGAAAGACACACACCTGGTCGAATCAACACCTTCGAGAAGCTCTGATATTCGTGCATTACGAAAGAGCAAAAATCTCTCATCATCCAGTCCTGACCCACCTTCTTCTAATGTTCCGCGGAAATCTACACATACTCGTCCAACTTCACAAAATACTGCAAAGAAGACCCCACCATCACCATGCTGGCATTGTGGCGCGTGGCACTTTGTAAAGTCTTGTCCATACAAAAATCATCGTTGCAGCAAGTGCAACATCGTCGGTCATAAAAATGGTTTTTGTCAGCCACGCCAACTCAGATATCATAATCCAGCAAAAGCTCAACAAACGGTTGGTCCTAAATCTCCAAGGAGATCATTGAGTCTACTCGCAACCTGTCAAGTCATAACTCCATGTATGCGGAAATATCTTGACCTTCAGATGAATGGTCATGATGCACGTCTGCAGCTAGATACCGCCTCTGATATTACTGTTATATCAAAGAAACTTTGGAATAATATTGGCAGACCACCAATCGTAAATACTTCTCAGACTGCTGTCAGCGCCTGTGGTGGGCGCCTCAAACTAATTGGTGAACTCGAATGTTCTGTTTCCTTCCGCGATATCAAATTCACAGGAATTTGTTACGTCACCAGGAGTGATTTAAATCTTTTGGGACTTGATTGGTTCGATCGTTTACATCTGGCTGATGTCCCACTTAGTTCTGTATGCAACGCAGTTAACAAGGATGAAAATTCAGCCAACTCCTTTTCTGATTTATGCAAACTATTCGCACCTGTTTTTCAGCCCGGATTAGGTCACTGTACCTCGCTGCAAGCTACCTTTCGAGTATTACCAGACGCAAAACCGGTTTTTCGCCCAAAGAGGCCAGTTCCATATGCATCTGTACCAAAAGTTGACGAAGAATTGGAGAGACTGCAACAACAAGGCGTATTAACACCAGTCACGTACTCGGCATGGGCAGCACCCATCGTCGTTGTCAAGAAAGCGAATGGGTCCCTACGTATTTGTGCTGATTTCTCTACTGGGTTGAATGCTGCATTAGAACAGCACCACTATCCTTTACCTACACCGGATGATTTATTCACTGTTTTAAATGGTGGATCTTATTTTGCAAAACTGGACCTTGCTGACGCATATCTACAAGTGGAAGTAGCCCCAGAATGCCGAGAACTCCTTACCATTAATACACATCGCGGTTTGTTCCAATACAACAGATTACCTTTCGGAGTTAAAACTGCCCCAGCTATTTTCCAACAACTGATGGATACTATCTTGGCAGGTATTCCGGGTGTTGCCGTCTATCTTGATGATATCTTGGTGGTAGCGAATTCTATAAACGAACTTTACAGCAGGACAGAAGCTGTTTGTCACGCATGCAGGACAACGGTCTACGACTACGCTCAGAGAAGTGTCAGTTCTCCTTGAGATCTGTCAAATACCTTGGATTTATATTTGATGCATCGGGTAGACGTCCAGATCCTGACAACATACGTGCTATAAAAGAGATGCCCGCACCTACTGATGTGCCTTCCTTACGCTCTTTCTTGGGATTAATTAGCTATTACTCTGCATTTCTCCCTGCGCTGCATAATGTTCGACACCCCCTCAATCGACTACTCGAAAAGAATGCAACCTGGAAATGGTCCGAAGCTTGCAGATCAGCTTTTGAAAAGTTGAAGTCTATGTTAACTTCTGAATTGCTTCTGACACATTATAGTCCAACACTTCCAATTATAGTTGCAGCGGACGCTTCAGCAAGCGGAGTGGGAGCTGTCATTTTACATGTCTTCCCAGATGGTTCACAAAAAGCAATAATGCATGCATCTCGAACACTAACTGCGGCAGAAAAGAAATATGCACAAATTGAAAAAGAAGCCTTAGCTTTAGTTTTCGCCGTACGACGTTTTCATAAAATGATCTACGGCCGCCGATTTACCTTGCTGACAGATCATAAACCGTTACTTTCCATTTTCGGATCTAAATCAGGTATCCCGGTACATGCAGCTAACCGACTACAACGCTGGGCAATAATATTACTTGGATACGATTTCGATATTAAATACAACCGAACTAACGAATTTGGTCAAGCCGACGCTCTATCTCGGCTAATTAGCGACTATCCTGCATCAAGTGAAGATATGGTAATTGCATCGATCGCCACCAAAGACTATGCAGTTAACCTCATCGACAATGCTATTCGATCTCTACCAGTAACGTTTGCAGAAATCCAGCGAACTACAAGCACCGATGCCACCTTACGACGTGCTACACAGTATGTATCCAGTAATTGGCCAAAGATAAAATATAGTGGAGACCTAAAACACCTGTTTGCCCGTCGTGATTCCTTATGTGTTGTAAAAGATTGCTTGATGTTTGGAGAACGCGTAGTGATACCTGAAGCATTACGAAATAAACTCCTGAAACAGTTTCACATGGGACATCCTGGTATTCAGCGGATGAAGAGTATTGCTCGCAGCTACGCATACTGGCCTAATATGGATAAGCATATTATCGACTTTGTTCAACGATGTTCAAAATGTCAACAATCAGCAAAGCTACCCCACCAGCTACCTCCCGTACCGTGGCCTCCAGCATCCCATCCTTGGTCCAGAATTCATATTGACTTTGCTGGCCCTACAAATGGTGCATACTATTTAGTGGTGGTAGACGCTTTTTCTAAGTGGCCAGAAGTTATACCAATGGTTTCGCCGACAACGTCCCAGACTCTCAAAGCTCTCACTGACATATTCTCCCACCATGGTCTCCCAGAAACCATAGTTACAGACAATGGTTCGCAGTTTACCTCTCATCAGTTTCAGCAGTTCTGTCATCAAAATGCTATCGAGCATATGTTCACACCGCCGTATCATCCTCAGTCAAACGGCCAAGCGGAACGTTTTGTCGACACTTTGAAGAGAGCCTTACTCAAAGCAGAGGGAGAGGGGACACCATTTGACATCATCCAAAAATTCTTGATGGTGTACCGTACAACGGCGAATGAGTCAACACAGAACAAGAAATCGCCGGCAGAAATTCTCTACGGACGCAAACTTAGAACGATTCATAACTCAATGTTACCACCGACACTCAAACATGCCGACGCATCATTTCGGAATGAAAAAAAATTTGATGTTGGTGACCCTATCTATGTCCGCGACTATCGAGGAGGACATAAACCTTGGAATAAAGGTTCCATCTCAGCACGACGTGGTCGAGTTATGTACGACGTGAAAGTTGGAAATGAATTATGGACCCGTCACTACAATCAGTTGCGGCCAAGAAACTCAAATATCCCTACCAGTACACAGTCATCCCTACCTCTGGATATTCTCTTGGATACTTTTAACTTACCTACGACTGACAAAACAGAAAAGCAGAAGTGCGCAGCAAAACGAAAATCAGACAAAGCAGAAGCCGCAAACTCAACAAGCAGACGAAGCAACAGACGTCGACAACAAACTGAACGGTTTCAGATAAACCCCAAGAAAGCACGCTATTAATCATCACTCTTCTCAAAAGGGGAGGTGATATGTATCCACATATATATATTTATGTGTGTGTGTATGTTGGTCTCTCTTTCTGTTTGCTCTCTTAGTCTGTAACCATTTCACTGGCATGAACTTGTCTCCTTTATCAATGTATATTCTCCTTATATTATATTATATATAATATGAGTGTTTGTTGACAGTCCATTGCTTGGTGACATATATCCATATATGGTTGTTGACATGTCTGCTATATATATATATATATATATATATATATATATATATATTTCGTTCACACATTCTGTGTGAACTACTTGACTACTTTACTTACTTATCACTTTGGTGTGAGACCATTTTATTTTCGTCTCCTTGTGTTTGGACAATAGAAGTATCATCGCAAACCTAGTGGTCTTCTGATTTCCTCCTTCTCGCGTCAGGACTATTAGTTTCTCGACCAGTCCATAACAATAATTTAGCGACGAGTAAATGACAGTAATGCACGGTGAAAATTCCATACCTGTACTACAAATACTGTTTGGAATAAAGCTGTTATTATTATTATTATTATTATTGATGTACATTATGGGTACGAAGAGGGATGCACCAGACAAAATTATATGATAGTATGTCTAATGCTTGAGATACTGTTTGGGTGCCGAGAACGAAGCACGTGGTTGTCGTTAAGGTCCATCTCCCCTTCTCGAGCCTTTGGCTTGAAGCCTAATCCACAAGGCGGTGCAGCAGTACCGTCAGGAACTGTGTTTCCATGGTTTCCAATGACCTGTCCAGGTTGATATGCCATTTGATTAGTATGGATTCTAGAGTCCATGTACACAATAGGATAGGAATCTGGGATTTCTTGCTCTTCTTTGTGGATCTACATGTCCATCAATCTTTTTGTAAGCGCCAGACGTTCTCATTCTCTGTTTCACTTTTCTCAACGCAATGAAGTTGACTCAACTGACAAACGCTATGAACGTATGACCACATAAGAACACATCGAGAGGAAGGCCGAAGTCTACCCACCCGCGTTAACCGTGTCAAGTTGTTTATATGGCTGTCAACTGGGTAAATGATAGCTTGTGTGTATGCAACTTAGTTAAGACAACTAAATTTCATGCGCATAACTTTTAATATTTCGCGTCATAGATATGACAGTCATGTAGTAATTGTGAAATCAAAATTCTAAAGGTATTGGTAGTTCCATGTGATTGATTTGAGGTGGAAGGGAAAGATCATGCAGATGAGTTGCCTTAAAAGTAGATTCTGATGCGTTAGGTACATATCTTCAAGCATTTATTTAAATCGTGGTCTGTTGTCATTATTGATGCAGTAAAGCTGTTCGGTATATTATCCTCGATAAATCTCAAGGCTTCTTTCAAAAGGCTTGGATTTGTGGCTTAAGTGCTCATAATTAAAATACCAGTAGGATCTGGTCCTTTAAAAACGTGGATATATAAGGTGAGGGACTGACTTCTCAAGCAATAGGGTAGTAACACAAATGGCTGGCTTACACCAACAGCCGCTGGGATGTCTGTGAACCCCTTCATTAAAATCTATCTTCCCAGTGCTATACTATCAAGCACACTGACTGTGTGTTGGCTGATGATACTTTCCAGTTGCCAAGACTGAAGTGAGTGTGGTTTTCTCGCAACTTCCTGACGCATGTTGGACCATTCTGACGGATAACAAGTTTAATAACCTGTGTAGGGCTGTCATGCATAGGATGAGACAGTGTTTGTCTAATGGCAGAACATGAGTGTCAGATGGGATCAGCAGTTGCATCTGACAACGGTCAATATACGTTTCAACTCGTCTCAGCCACCGGCAGCAAAGACTATAGTGTCAGGGAGATTGCTTAAGAGGCAGATGGCATGTCGATTAACGCTTGAAATGCCGGACGAACCACTGTGAGAAATAGTTTTGCTGGCCCATATATCGCCAGTACCCAACATAAAATTACCCCATGTTTGGTTAGTGCCAGTCTTCCGAAAGATGCTTGGAGTACTAACGCTCCATAAGGCACCCCTCTTCCGGCTCTTTAGAGTCATTTCCTTGACTGTATTACTCAGAAAAGTGGACGGACGAAGCTATTACCGTGTCTATCTTTAGAAAGGATCCACGTTGTATAAGCTACAAACAGGCTGTTACCCATTGCGTCTGAAATATTGGCTGGTGTCCTGCACTGCAGGCTGCGTTCGACGCATGAGGAATTTTGGCTGCTTAAGAACAGACGTCTTTGTCCAAGTCGTGGATGCATGCATCATATGTTCAGTCTACGGCAGTTGCTGCGACACCGATTTGCAGGCCAACAATCATATTTCTTGGTATAATGGTTTGTCTTCTATTCCTTGGACAGAGGCGTTCTTTAGAGCAGTGTCTGTTAAAGAGTTGCGTTCCTGAGAAGTTTGTTAACATGCTGAAACCCCTTTACACAAAATACCTTAGGTAGGGTAAAGACTTACCACCACCTACCACCGCTATTTTCGACCAGCAATAGGGTTGCACAGTCTCACCACTTCTGTTCAACTTTACCACTGATTACGTTCTCGAGACAGCTATGAAGTATGCACGTGATGGTGATGTAGGTTTACTACCTACGGGCAGACTTTTTGACCTGGAGTATTCAGATGCTATCGTCTTACTGTGTAATAACATACAGGCTACTGAAATGATACTAAATCGGTTGGCGACCAGTGTTTGAATGACATGTACTTTTTGCTACCGGAGTGGAAAGTGTTGTCTTAGGATTGGCATCAGCATGCACTAATCCTTCCGAAGTGATCAATGCATTCATTTATCTAGGTAGTTATGCGAATGCTGACGGAGGTGTCACTAATAGGACTTGCAGCGGGGGTGGCGTATGCCAACCTAAGCCGTCTCTAGCTACGTTACACTGACCATCGAACTTTAGGTTTACAATGATATGACGTGCAGTCTTTCTCCTCGCCTGTGAGACCTAGTCTTTCCGAGCTGAATATATGCAATGACTCTAAGTGTTTGATTGTTGCTACCTTTGTAGAACTGTTTGCATCGAACGGCAGTACCATGCAAGTAATTCTGATAACCGATAATATTGTCTGGACATGGTTGAGGTCGTGTCATTCAGCAGATGATATTATTGACATCCGCTATGATGGCTTGGTCTTATCATTTCTACACAACTGCAAAACTGAAATCATGATTAGACTGTACTTGGGATGCTGGTCTTGATCATTGCTCCATCTGAATTTCACATGATATCTGGCCATCCCTACAGGGTGGGGGAATCACCAGGTTAGTGAATGAAAAACCGTTCAGCTAGTATTCTACTTACGATTATTGACTTTAATTACAAACTATGCCTTCTTGTATGCCATTGAAAACATCAGCTTGCTTATTTTTAATAATACTTCCCCAGTAGTTACTTCTGCGGAGTGAGCGTATTTCTTGTAAGTGTGTAACGCAATGTCTTACGTATTACTTCCAACTTGTATATGCCGCGTCCAGTTTTCATTCCACTTTGGTCTAGGAAATCGATTAGTCTCAAGTTATCAGTATACTGAACAAGGCTTATAGTCTATCGTATGAAGAAAAACATGACAAATGAACAAAAAACTAAGCGTCTGAGGATATGTGAATTCTTTTTATTCAGTAGAAAAAAGATCATATTTACAATAATTAGGGAAGACATTTTTAGTTAAGCGATCAAGTGATATTGCTAAAGTCATTTTAGGCCTTCAAAATGTAGTCCACTTCATGTGCAGTTGTATACCACAAAGAAATCTGTAATGGGATGATCAGAAATGTTTAGTGTATTGGCATATTATGAACTATGGTTAGATACATTACTGCTTTTTAGTAAGAAAGAACATACTGGAAGTCATCTAATTCTCTAAAATGCTAAACTCTGTCATTTCGAATTGTTAAGAAGTCAGCGTTGTCTCTACAGCAATGATACGAAGTTTTCACTTAAACTGTTTCATGACGAAGCCTACTAATTTTTGTTAAATTACCGCGACTCACCGGTTTATGCACTTGATTTTCTGATCAGCAGATCACTAAATCAAGTTCCGCTGAGCGAAATGTCAACAACAAAGCGGAATTAAGGTCTTGTCACTAAATGCAAAAATAGTTGCTCAGTCTCTGGATTACACTTTTTAAAATTCATGCAAACAGTGTCACTATTCGCATTTAAGTACTTATAACATTCATAACAGATCAATCTTTGCTTTTGATCTCATTTCCAAGTCATATGTATAACTTGAAGCAGGTAGGGACATATTCTAGCGTCTAAGTGATAGATGTTATCTTGATGCCCATTGACGACTTCCAGAGAGTCAATCAATGGTCTTGAATTCTGCTGAGTTCTAGCATGTAATGTTATAGAGAGACAACAATATCTAGGAATAATGTTTCTCTTGCTTTTAAATGAAGACCCAAATTGGCCAGGACGACTATTATTCGGGAATCAGTGGGTAGGTAAGAAAGATTATGACAAACAGTTGTAAAGTGGATGGAAAAAATATCAATGGATGTCGTGTTCCACTCTCATCATTTTCTGTTGTAACTGTTTGAAACTACTACTAATCAGAAGCAGTATTACATATGTTTGCTATTAGCTGATTAATATATTTTAGAACGTTAGTGAACTCAGCGCATAAAGCAGAAAGAGTCTGAGGACTAAATTTATTGACTATATTCTATTTTCTGCAAATCCTGTTATGAGACTTGATCGACCAGGGATGGCTGAGTGAATAAGGGTAGATTTAGGTGGTGGTAGTAGTAGACATTCAGGTATGCTTACCTTGGAATGCTAACTGAAATCACATTTAGCTATATTTTAAACTGATTTAGAATAACAGCTTGTGTTATCTGGTAGCCATTAGATCTTACTTGTACAGTGAATAAATATACAAATTCCAATAAGCATTAACTCACTTTTTGCTTCACTTGTGCTTTTAATCACAAAACTCTCCACAGCAAATACCATAAAAATACAACAATTAAAGTTACGATGTTAATGGGAAAAGATCGTGAGGCAGTTCCCTGGATTCAAAATAAGATAAAAAGTTTGTTAAAATTGGGCTATTAAAATTTCACAATACTTGGCATAATTTATTCACTCGAAGGTCTTGTTATTTGAAGAAAAAGTATTCCATCAAACCATAGAATATGTTAGAAGTCAATATTTTGAGCATATTCACGGGTGTATAATAAAATAAGGGAAGCTATATGAATGGTGGAATGCTTAATGGATGGCCATTTTACACGTCTAAACAATGGTTAGAAACTTTAGTCTTAACTAAATATATTTTAAGTGTCTGTCATTCCACGTTCATAGTCACTTGAAGGTTGTTCAGGTGGGAAAAGTGAATGCTAGGACTAGGACCAGATGAAAAGTGTCGTAATTCTTATAAAATTACTGGAGGACATCCAAAACATAATGGTTTGGACATCGTATATATATATATGTCCAGTGGCAAAACTGTCATACAAATCAACAGGTTGTGCTTTGTTGAGAGACCAGATACACTTCTCAATTGTATATCTCAACAGTTTATTGAATGTTAACTTTTAAAATGAATATGAGTATACAGCATATTATTTACTGAGTATTAGGAGTTAAGTAAGGACATGAGTGACAGTCTTTCTTGAATCATTGCAGTTATACCTTTATGAACCTCACGAAAATGCTGACGACTTGCCTGATATAAAATCGAATTCTGAATGACTTTAAAAATTGAAGAGAAAAAGAAAATCTCAAATGTACATAGTTATTTGAATTATGACAAATATTCCCAAAATGCCCAGAAATCATGAAAATATTCATATGGACTAGGAATAGCCCAACTTACAGGCACATAGTAGTTGCATCTGTCAGTATTACAACAGTAAGAGCAAATCCAGTCTCTTGTTTTTGATCTGAAACAACGCTGTGAGATGACCGAAGATGTCGTTTCGCAACCATATGTCGTTGTACAAGCCTTTGTTATAAATGCTCTCCGCTCAGCAAGAACGGTAAAAAAGGGGGGAGCTGGCTTTCAAGAAGTGAAGGGTTTTGCTTACTTCGATACTGGACAATTGACTGGCAAGTGTCCTGTAAGGGCTCGCAGGTCTGAACAGTCCTAACGCAATCATTCCAGTTCCCTTCAACATAATTACACACATAACATTCAAGAGCTATTGAAATACAAATGATCATTAAACTTTTAGAAACTGGAACCTAGGTTAAGTGGGATACTGAACATTAAACCGAAAATTGCTAAAGTCATTTCCTCTTCTTTCAAAGCGGAGCTGTTTACGCGAAAAGTTAAAACATCTGTATTCATTCAATGTCCAATATCCGAAATCCTGATTACGAGCTAGTATAAACCAGAGATTTCTTTGAGCCCACTTCTTGATTGTGAGGTAGAGGTTTCAGATCTTCGGCGGGCTTCTGCGTAGTAAGTCCCTCCTTTCGACCGCTTTAGCTCTGGTAGACTCCATGAGGAGTGGTGCGGGGATTGGTCAAGATGTGGTTTGTAGTATGCAGAATGTTAGGACTGTGTTGCTGCCGTGAATGGAGTTTGACCTAACTCCCGTTGGTCATTTGGTGTGGTCATAAAAGCAGAATAGTAATAATAATAGGTTGTAGTGTAGGTAATATGGGTTGAGATAAGTGAGACAATAAAGGTGGCCTAAGGAAAAGATAGAGTGAGAGAAGGCAGAACAGTTCGTGGGGGTTTAGTTTGTATGCTTATCCATTGACAGCGTGGTTTTAAGTTTTATGAGGATAAGCCATTGAGACACAAACCTTGCATTTCAGCATGATTGTCTAGCTTCCGCTTAAAAATCTCCAGAGATGGTGCTGTAGTCACGGCCGCCGGTAAAGCGTTCCAGAGACGGCAAACTCGAGGCGAAAAGAAATGTGATCGCACTCGAGTCTTTGGTCTCTGGTGTGCTATCCTTAGCGGGTTACCTCGTGGAAGCCTATAGTCACTTAATGGCAGGATGCTTTTATTTGGGTGGGCGTGGTCATTTAAGAACTTGTAGACGGTGATGGGGTCTTCCCTGTGCCTACGGTAACTAAGTGTGAAAAGACCTAATTTCTTTAGTCGTTCCTCGTAGGATTTGTTGCAAAGGCCGATCACCCATTTTGTCGCTCGTCTCTGGACACTTTCTAGAATGTTAGCATCCCTTTTGAGTAGCGGAGGTGCAATGATATTATGCACCTAAAGGTGTGGCCTCACATATGTCTTATATAACCTTAAGAACAGTTCGGGAGTAAGAGCTCCCAGCTGCCTATGCATAAAGTGTAAGGTCGCGTAGGCTCTGGCGACGTCCCTCGCGTAATTTCCACTGGTGTCTAGCTTTTCGGTTAGAATAAGACCTAGATCGCGCTCTGATGGAACACAACTCAAGTTCTGGCCACCAAGGGGTGTAATTTGCACTCTGTGATCTTCCGGAATGAAGTTGCACTACTTTGCACTTCTTTAGGTTGAAAGGCGTTCCGTTAGCCAGAGCTCAGTTTCCCAGAGTTTGCGGGTCAGCCTGCAATCTATCTGAGTCTTCCGATGAGTTCATTGCTCTCCAAATCTTTACGTCGTCAGCGTAAAGAAGCGCAGTGCAGTTCAGTTGGGAGGGCGGGTCGTTGATAAAAACCAAAAACATCAACGGCCCTAAGATAGAACCCTGAGGAACCCCTGATGCCGAGGTGTGCCAGGATGATCGGATGCGGTTGACTTTGGTGCAGAATTCTCTCTCGCCTAAGTAATCAGTCAGCCATGCGAGAAGTGTTCCAGAAACACCCGCCTTGCTTATTTTGTGAAGGAGCAGACCATGGTGAACTGTGTCGAATGCTTCCGCAAAGTCGAGAAAGATCACGTGGGCTGGTACCTATTCGTCCCAGGATAGTGTCCAATCGTTCCAAGCTAGTAGAAGATTCGTCACGCAGGATCTTCCCCACCTAAAACCGTGCTGTGCTTCGTGAAGAAGGTTAGTCCCATCGAAGTATTTTCTCATGTGGTCGTCAATGATACTGTCAATGGCGTTGAAGATTGAACGATCAATTCTTGGTTGTTTGCTTAAAATCAACTTCCCCAATTTTCGCGGAGGCATCAATACGACAGTCATCGTCTCATCGGTCGCTGTTCAGAAAGAAGAGTGAAACATCGTCAGAAGTAATACAATGATTTATTATTGTAATATTTGTTTTCAGATCTTAGTTCGCTTATTCCTTTTATATGTTGGTGTAACAATAAAGAAATATCAAACGGCAGATCGGTGTTTTGGTGTTTTCGTCCGTTATAACAAAGCGTTTCTGAAATCTTCGAAGAACAGCGTGGGCCCGAGCGTAGCGAGAGCTGGGCATTAACGGTTTATGAGACGTGATTGACAGTTTCTGACGATAGAAGCAGATCTGGCGGATTCAAACAGTTGGTGAAAGTTTGGATAGTCGCCGTTCATTTCTCCTGGTGCCGGTCAAGTCCTCTTTGAACAAGCAATATCTGGAACTTTTTTGGAATTTGGTCAAGTTCAACAATGCCTGGGTCAAAGAAGGGACAGAGTGTCTTCGATGCAAACAGGAAAGTAAGTCATTGTGACTTGTCTGTTAATTGTAACGATGTGTCTGATGTTAAGCATGACATGGTTGATGTTACTGTCTCGCCGTTCAGGGATAATAGGAACATCAAACTCCCTAAATTTGAACCACGGTGTTTTGATGGAAACCCGGCTGATTATTTACAATTTGTAAAGGAGTTTGAGATCATGTTGAGTGGTTTTTTATTAAATGATGAATTGAAGTTAATGGATTTGATGAGGTATTGCACTGGAGATGCTTCAAGAGCTATACAGTGTTGTAAGCTTATGAAGCCGAATGAGGGCTACTACGAGGCTATGAGCATATTACGTCAAAGGTTTGGAAGACCTTCGATGATTGCAGGGAAATTATTCGAGGCTGTTAAGGGTAATGGTGGTCAATTACAGGATGACTCCCAGGCACTCACTGAGTATTTAGATAATTTGCTAATTTACAAGAATGCAATGATTTCGATGAATCGCATGAGTGACCTCAACTCGAGTTTTATACTAGAAGTAATAGCAAGACGTCTACCTACTCGACTGCAAAGGAAGTGGGTGAAGATAAGCTCCCGTATGGAGGATGAGGGTATCGACCCAAAGTGTGATGATATCCTGAAACTGGTAAATACTAGTGTCAATCAATCTATGAGCAAGTTCGCCAGTCTATTACATCTCACCCCTAGAATAGAGCAGTCTGAGATCAAAATGCAATCATTGACGACGAGTAGGCCTCAGAGAGGTGGATATCGAGAAGACTCCATGATGTCTAGTAATGCATAAAGACCTAGTGAGTGTAACAGGTTTCGTAGTACATCCTCAACAGATAAGTTACAAGATGCAAGACAAACACGGTTGTGTTTTACACGTTTGCAAGAAGTGCGTACAAAGGTGAACTGTGAACCAGTGAGCAAGTTTAGTGATAAGCTAAATGTAAACTCCAGGCATGACTCCGAATTGTGTGACGATAACGGTGCGGTGAAGAAGTCTGTAGTTGAAACTGGTAAGCCAATGTTGAATAGAATGTCACAGAATAGAGTTGCTGCTTCAGAGTGCAGTTCTGACCCTACAAGTTTACAAGGTATTACTAGTCAGAGTGAAGGAATAAAATCTTTGGGGATTTGTGTGGAGGAACCAAAATTGTCTACTTCTGTTATTAAAGAGTTTGAAATTCATGAAGTCGACCAGATAGATGATGATAAATTGAATATTTGTGGTAATGATCATGATACTTGTAGGGGACTAATATTAGAGTTCACTAACATTCCAAGTATAAAAGTAATAATCCAAGTCAGTGGAGTGTTAAATCACAATATATTACCAAAAATACAGTGACGAGTTATAGCAACAAAAAGGATTACTTGTATATAAAGTCTAAGTCCTCGGCTACAAATTAATTATATAATCCACGGCACGTTAATTGTTTGGACTGCGTCTGCTGTGTTCCGGTTGTAGAAATGTCTTCGGTTGAGAGTAGTAGGCTCCTACAATAAATCCGAAGTATACAACACGGTGTGAGTGGAGCAAGTAAGCAGAAGTGACCAGGGAGAAGACGAAGTCTCCAACAGCAGAGTGTATTTTTCAATTGTACACGGAAGTTATGTATATTTCAACAAGAAGCGTTTTAAACAAAAATTATGTACAATATCTCGAATTTATACAAGTAACCAAAAAGTGTACAATCACATTGTTACGTACTCAACACGGCTCCCCCCCTAGAGGTCCGGAGAGACAACCGGAAAATGATAAGTAAAACTATGAAGTAAATAATAATAGTAATAGCAACTTTTGGATAAAAATAGGGATATATTACAACATGCATAAACGCGAGAAGGTATGTGAATCATGTAAAGTCTGAAAGCATATACAATGAGTTCAGCAATAAAAATTGAAATAGAAAGTCATGTCACTTAAATTTGCACTAACCATGAACATAGATTTTTAATGTATAAAGAAAAATATGTAAATACACAGTAATTAAGGAGGGGAAAGAAACATTAAAAAAAATATGGATTAAAGATCAATAGTTTTTGGAAAGGACAATACCTGTTTTTTGGTGAGGTACATATAAATAAATAATAGTGATAGTAACATCAAAGTTTACGACGAAATACTAACGGTCATGATGATAATGTCTAAACGAAAAAGATAATAATAATTTTTAATTATTTTTCTTTTGTTAGTCCTCAAAATGAACGTAGCGAGCCGGTTTACTGATTTGCCGACCACTACGTGTGTGATATGGAGGGAGGATAAGACTTGGTGCCGGTGGAGGGGAATCGGATGTTTGATTATTTGATTGCGCAGCTGCCGATGTAGATTCGAAGTCGTTGTCGGTGTATGCGGGTTTGATTCGATCAATTGAAACAGTCTCTCGTCTTCCATTCTTGTTCACTGTAAAGTGTTTGTCTGAACGTTTAATAACTTGAAAGGGTCCTTCGTATGGAGGTTGCAATCCTTTTCTGATGGCGTCGACTCGAATGAAGACGAATTTGCAAGTTTGTAGATGTTTGTTGATCTGATCTCTTCGGGGAGATTGTCGAGGTGCTGTTGGTTGAAGTTGAAGCATTTGTCTAGTTAATCGGTTAGTGAAGTCGGCAATGTTCACGTCTGTGGAATCGGCTGAGGGGACTAGCTGTCCAGGCAAGGTTAGGTTGGTGCCATAGACAAGTTGAGCCGGTGTACATCCTAAATCTTCTTTGATAGTAGAACGGATACCAAGTAAAATCAAAGGTAAGTATTCACTCCACTTAGATGT